TCATCAGTGTCTAATCACAACATTTTCAGCCTCACAATCAGAATGTAAAATTTGCGATCAAGGTGGAATTGTATACCGTCTTTAGTGACACCGAATTCAACTTTCATATCGATTAGTGCACACCCTTCACTTTGCCATGCCTTCTCAAGCGTTCGAAAGATCAAATCCGTTTGACGTTTCATCGAGGCGATTTCACTTTTGCCAATTTTCAATCCGTTGAATTCGAAATGATTCTCGAGAATCTGCTCTTCTGACCATTGTGGATCGTCGTTCTCGTCATCTTTGAAGAAGATCTCCAATTTTGGAGGACAGAATCGATAGCCTTCCTTAACGCCAGGATTTCTTTTCAGAAAAGAGCCGGTTGCGACACGCCTAGCAACCCATTCGAGTGGTACCATTTGACAGTTCAAAGCGATGAAGTCGCTCTCTTCTACTCGTTCCACGAAGTGGGTCTTCAAACCTGAAATTCGAAGCTATTAAGTCAATCGATTTCAACTGATTGTGAGATTGGCTTTATAAATGGCTCCAACCGAGATTTGAGGCTTATGAATTTTTGAATGAAAGTAAGATTTTGAAATTGGTTCAGTTCCGATCGCGCTAAGCATTTTTCAAGCGAGTAGCAGTCCTTTCGGTAGTATCTAACCGAGTTCGTTCAGGTACTCGAATATGTTGCACGTGGTCTGATTTGCAATCGCTCCTTTGCCTTCGATTTGATTTGAACGTTGTGCATTGAACGCAGTGATGCGGTTCTTACTTCTGATCAGGACGTACTACAAAGAAAACAACGTGAAATCACGAAGTATATTCATCGCTGACTGTGCTCATGCAAGTTAAAATCTTAGATGTAAAGTATATTTCTATTATCGTCAGTATTTCGGAGCTAATGAGTCTCTGAAAAGTGTCAAGAATCGATCGNTTGATGAGCTGCTTGCTCTTCATTGAAAAACAAATTATCATTTACACGCTGAATATTAAGAAATTTACTGCACTATCAATTAAATTGGTGAATCCTTCAAATGTCACATCTTTAAAGAAATCTGATCAATTATTTTAAACATTATATAATGATTACAGTGAAGAATGATTTCACATCAATTTCTGCACAGTTTAATTTTGCACTTCTCGGGTTATTGATGGAGTATGTAATGAGTAATTCGAAATTTCCAATTCAGAATTTCGCCCCAACAGTCCGCATCCCCAATACCTGCTTACAATTAGTGCAGAACATTTAATTGCATTAAACTGGCATTCTGCTTTCATTGTATAACATTCACGTGCCGTATATGATGCGCACTGATTGTTAATATATTACACTAATACAGCGATTACAACACTCATAATTCGATTAATCACCTCTATATGAATTTGACTCGGAATATTACCATTATTAATATTATTTTCATTGAAATCATTATTCAAACAAATGATAATTTAATCAACTTACCTCATCATGTTTGACGATCCTGTAGATTTCTTTAGTCTTGCCCTCGGCTACTTTTTCAAGATCGCTCGCAGAATACTCAACACTTTTCACCATTGCTGACCTCTCGTCAAGTGGTCGACTGACTGAAAATGAGGCAATATCGAGAAAATTTCGTTGTGCAATCGGAAATTTTGATCCGAACAATAGATATTTGATTAATTGGATGAACATTTTGATCTGCAAATCGACATTGAAGTGATGTAAAGTCATTTAAGAGGTACACCACTTTCAACTAATAGTACTTGAATAGATATTTGCAATTAAGTGTAAAGAACATTTATATAAGAGGACATTGTATCAGCACGAACAATTAAGATAAGATAAACTGATTGCAGCAGTGATAGT